AGGCTTTCATATTTATGCTAAATAAAAACACTTTCTTTAAGAGTTGTTAGGAGAGTACGTTCCATCATGAGAGAACTTATTTGTTATGGAAAAACAGTTAAAAAATAGTTTATAAGATATTAAAAGAATGATTATGTAGTTAGGTAATAAGCGTGGATATTGGATATTGCGTCACGTGTATTTTTATGGAGTAATGAATGAAAAAGAGGTAAAACACATGTATTTCAAGAAAAGATTAAGAGAAAATTTTTTTAATTATCTCCATATCTAAGCCATCAAGTTAAAATCTCTAAAACATCCCAAATGTGAGATAACTCATAAATCCTACCACTTAATTTGAATTACTTTCACTTCCCAGTACAAACAACTATTCAATGCTTGTTCTTAAGTGTTTTTGCGTTTGAAACACTCTTGGGTGCTTTCATGCTGAGAACGTCCTTGAGCACTTCCGTACTCGGAACAACCTCAGGTGCTTCCATGCTCAGAACAACCATGGCTGCTTCTACATTTAGAACATCCTGGCGCTTCTATACTTGGAACTCCTTAAAGCGCTTTCGCATTCAGAACACCTTAGGGTGCTTCCACTTTCGAAACACCCCTAAGCACTTCCACACTTGAAGCACTTTTGGGCACTTCTACTCTTAGAACACCTTTGTGCGCTTCTGTACTTGAAATACCCCTAATCGCTTCTAACATGAACACCTTTAGGTGTTTACATGCTTGAAACACTCTAGACGTTTTTGCGCTCAAAACATCCCTAGACTCTTCTACACTTAAAACATTCTTTATGTAATTTTTCTGTAAACAGTATTTCGAAAACAATAGTTAACCAGAATTGAATATTTACAAAAATCATTAAAGAAAAGTGAACCTATCAAACTTTGAAATTAGCGTCTGTCTGGTGACTAACAAGAGGGTACAACTGCGGGACTCCCAACTTACAATTGCCATCGATGCCTACAAACGTGTCAAGGTCCCTTGTGTGTTGTGTATGCCCACCGTAAAAGTGGGTACAACTGCAGGACTCCCAACTTACAATTGCCATCAATGCCTACAAACATGTCAAGGTCCCTTGTGGGTTGTGTATGCCCACCGTAAAAGTGCACACTACCTAAAATTTTTAAAAACGAGTGCCAAAGAGGCATACACTCCTAAACTTGTTCAAGACAAAGTAGACAGGCACTCGATAAGAAAAACGAAGGCAAGGCATGATGGAGACGGGAGTATGGTCATGTATGGTCACTCTACATATATTTCAATGTTGATTAAGAAAGAAAGAGATATGCGAGACTAGCTAAGGAGGGACTAATGAATAAGCCTTAAAGAGGGTTATGAATAGCGTTTTGCCTTAGCAGCCCTTGTTTTTCTCAAAGGAAATCACCCCTCGGAACTCCTAAGTAACTTTGTCACGAGTCAAAAGCACAAACGCTTTTTACTAGGTTGGCATGATGCATTTTTGCTCCTTTCTTTGATGTATTCAGACAATATCATCACTTGTCGCTTGGGAATTTTATCACCTTTTAGACTTATTGAAATTTATCACGTATAACTTTTAACTATTAATTTTTTTAATTAATTAAAATGTAGACTTATATTATTTTTTTTTATTTTTTATTAAAATTTGATTAAGTTAATTTAATTTTGATAATGAAATAAATTTCTAATCTATAATATGATCTAATAAATTAGGTTTTGCTCCAATATTATATGTGAATTTAATAATGTATGTCTATATAGAAAAACCTAAATCTTATATTGGGTAGGATTTGATATTCACCATATAAAGGTGAGATTAGGTCTTGTCTTTTGTCTCTTGTTTAATACATTGAGTTACTCACCCATTAGAGAGTTGTGAAAAATGAGAGAAATTAGAAATAAGATATTCAATTTGATCATATGCTAATTTGATCAAATCACATCTGTCTAATTAAATGCAATCATTATGATTTTATGTAATTTATAAAATTATATTAGGTTGTTATTCCTTGATAACTAAAAATTGTTGTTGATTTATAAATCTTGAGAAAACCTGACAATTTCATCCAAAATTAGTGCTGCAACTTTAGGATTCATAACTCGTGAATTAGATGTTAATTTTGAGTTCAAATTGTCCCAATTTATGTGTTTTAATCCAAATTAATGTAGGTTAATAAGGTTAAATGCATTTGAGATTAACTTATGGTGTTTAAATGCCAAAATCAGATGAATTTGGAACTCAAATCGAGCTCCATGGCCGGATGAACAATATGTGTTTTAAGTATTATGTTATCTTGTTTATTATATACAATTTAAATGTAGATTTTACATTATTAATTAATTTATTTTTGTTTTATCCAAATTGAACTAAGTTAACTTTTATCTAACTTTCTCACCTATTAGAAAGCTGTAGAAAATGAGAGGAAGACTGTATTGCGCTGAGTTTCAGTAATTAATTTGATGATGATTATGTAATTTCCGTTGCCTAAAACACAAGTAAAAAATCAAATGTGTATTTTTATATTTTAAATTTTTGATACGATAGATCTTAAGTATGTGAAATTAATTATACCTAAAATTTACATCACTTAATACATTTAATACAAAAATAACTTTTTTTTTAACAAATCTTAAAAAATGTTTTTAAAATACTCATTAGTAAAACTGTAAAACCATGAATCTTCAATTAATAGTTGTATATTCTTTTGGAAAATAAAAAGTTTGCATTAATATCCTTGATACCAGATCTTAAAATCCATTTATCTGAAATATTTAACCAACCAACCAAAGGGACAGTCGGGGGGATCGAAAGTGGTGGAATTGACATCCCATTATCTACAAAATCAAGCCAAAGGGATAAAACGTTTTCAAATAGAATATCCTACATCCTGGAGCACATGCATGGAAGCCAAAATGAAAATCTCTTCTTCTTTTTTTTTCTTTTCATCTTTTATAGCTGCATACGTTCTACACTTGTGTGCTTGATGTGGCCTATAGGATGCCACTTTGTCCTTACTAGGATCTAGGGTAAAAGTAAAAACAAGGTAAGCCTCCAGGGCTGAGTCTAGTGGATTATCCTTTCTTTTCTTTTCTTTTCTTTTCAGTCTAGGGTTGATTTGATTTGGGACCACTATGTCACCATAGTACAACCCAAAGGTTGTGGAGGGCATAATAATATTAATAATAATAATTGGCACAGAAATATACAGTTAACACTTTCTGTGAGGTCCTGAAGGGGAGATTTTTGACACCTTATCTTCTCTCACCACAAAACTTTTCATCACAAATCTTTCCTGGGTGGTTATCAACTGTGGACTGTTGTAATGGTTTGATATGGGGCGATTAAAGAAAGAATATATGTTCCGGCTCTGGTTCATAAAAGGAAGCCCATAAATTAGGGGGGTGGGAGACAACATTTCTGAGTAAAGGCCCACCATGAGCGAGATGTGATTGGGGTCCAGTAATCAGACACATGGTTGTCCTTTCTCTCCTTGGGGCCCACGTGAAATTAGGAGTCTAAGTGGCCCCACCATTGCATCAGTCCACGCTACTCCCTATTGATTACCTCTTTTTGTTAGGAATTTTTTCCCTAGGTCTATCGTCACAAAATAATAGCATTTCTCTTTATATACACTCAAATTTCTACAAATTAATACTTTTAATATCATAAAAATTCATTCATTAATTAAAATATTATTAAATTAATAAATTCATAATTTATATATTAATTAATAAAAATTTAATTAATCAATGTATTCTTTATTTTTTTTAAAACATTGAACTTAATACATCTATTATGTATTGTCATTATACGAATATTATCTAATTATAGAATTACAAATTATTATTATTCGTGATAAGCAAATTATTGTAAACATCATGAAAAATGATAAAAAAGATAAAATTGAAGACGATAGTTCTATAAATATTTTACATATTTATATAACATTATAGTTTTTTAAAATTTATATAAAATATATATTTTCCTATTACTAAGTTGATCATGTATAATGGTTGATTGTCTTGTGTTTGATGATCTTATTTTGTGAATGTTAATTTTATTATCCTTGTTATGTTAAATCTTGAATGTTAAAACTTATAAGTCAAAACTCTTGAATGTTAATTTTATGGTTTATGTGAAAGAACATAATCATGTGAGTGAAATAGCAAATGTTATGTTTTTTTTATATTTAGATTATTTATATATTTTATAATTATAAATAAAATTTATAAATTTCAATATTGTAATTTGAGAAAGACAAAAGTGATAAAATTTCGATTCTTTTGGCCCAAAATTGAATCAACCGAACTAATTTAATTTTTTATTTGTTTGGTCTTCTTTTAAGTTTAGTCAATTTTAGTCGATTTTCTAAAAATACTTATTCCATTTGATCTTTAGTTAAGATAGACTTAAAGGGGATTCAAATCATGCTAAAGTGAATCATACACAGTGAAATATTAAAATTTTAATCCCCTAAGTCAGATATCACTTTAATTGAAACTAATATAGAAAAACTACAAGAAAAATATTT